AGGTATCGAAACCAGATACTTTTTATTTTTATTGTAAGTTATTGTTTATTAAACTGTAAGTTTTATAATTGAAATTCAATGACGTTATAATAACAAGATTGTATCTAAAAGATTAAAGATTATTACAATTAAACAACCAAATCAGATACTGAACTTTTGTGTTATCCGAACCAAATCGTATCTTTATTTTGTTTACTTATTCTTTTGACTGATTTTTAAAAAAAAACTGGTATCTATCAACTTGACCAACGATGCCAAAGTATAATCTTTAGAGTTATGGGTATCATATCTTTCTAATATTAATATACGAAAGTCTAAATGATGTTATATTTAGAAAGGTAAATACGAAATATCTGATCCTTATTTCTATTTGTATGACGTTGTTAAGAAGATGACGAGAACGTTTAGTTGGGTATTTTTCAACCGAATTTCTAGACCATGTGAGTCATCCGACTCACGTGATTAAGTCAGGATCCTACCGGATTAAGCAAATGAAATGGAATACAATGAAACCATACAGTGATCGAGAACAACTAGAAACAACCAAAACGTAACGAGAAAATCTTGTTTTTGTACAGTGACCTCACAACAGTCTAGAAGAATAACAACGTTCTTTTGAAAAACATAATATCATACACAAATGTTTAATGCACGTAACTCGTTTCGTGTATAACATCAAAATCTCAAATTATTATTAGAGCATGTCGTTCGTTTTTCTCGCCAACCACGCTAGAAATGTAGTGCATGTTTCTTTAGAGGTAAGAGTGCAAGCACGAAACACAGTTGTAATTACATTCTCTTAGCATTACGATATCCCTTGAAACGTATGGAATATTGTTATCACGTTGTGTTTTACAATAAAAAATGAATGAATGTTGTGACCGTAACGACTGTTCAAAAGTTGTGAATAACTATTTGGAAAAATTATAAGACATATGTCGTTGCTTTTTGTTATTACTGTTCTTTACGTTAATATGAGTAATATCATCATATATGTGACCAGAACAGGAAATATCAGGTTTCTACTGTACATTTTACGGTGTCAAAACGTTCCAAATACTCAAGAATTAATCATATACGAACATTATCACACGGTAAAGCCATGACGACATTCATAGTCATATTGTAAGACTGTGTGTTCACTTTTATTACTCGAGATCTAATCACATAAATAATACAATTTCTCAGCATATATTCTTAATTTAACATCTCAAACCCTACAGACACAATATTCTAGTCACGTGAAATTCCATATTCTGCCATGAAATTTGATTGTCGAGATTTAAATATCTTGGTTTTTCTTTAAAGGGCTTTTGTAATAAACCATTTGTGAATTTCCCAAAATACCCCTTAGTAGTTTGAGGTGCTTATCATTTGCTGGTGGGTTCATTACTATAAACGACATAACGAGAACAACCATTTTTCGTAAGATCTTGTGAAATATATCTTTAAGAAAACCGTAAGTCATATATGAAATTTCAAAGGTATAAGGAAAAAAAAACGAAAGTTGTCAAAATTACGTATTTGCCCTCCAAACACTAATACGACCATAGTCACATTTTGTAAACAAAATCTAGAGAAATTCCACCAACGGATGGTTGAAAGGGGCTTTTTACAAATAGCACCCGATGGCAGAATTGTAATTTCACTAGATAGAGACTAGCAAAATACCAATGTTGATTCTAATTTCCATCAACATATGGGAAGGTCCCCCACACCATCCCAAGGGCAAATCCGTCAAACAAAAATAACATTAAACCTTCGAAAGTAATTAGAGAATCCTCTTTTTCCTAAAAAGAGAATAAGATTAAAGAGTTTTTCGTTTACCTCTTAATAGTTCCATTAAAAGACAGTCTCTGAATTGTTAAGATGTGAATCTTGTTTGACAATTTTTTTTTTGTCTCTTAATAGTTCTAAAACCCTCTGAATGATTTTGTATCATAGCCTTCCTTTAACCATTCAGCGTACTAATTTCATTGTAAATAATTATCAAACAATTATATTTCATTTTACACTATATAATAAGAGTTTTTTAATCATTTTGACCAATTAATCATTCTGCACAAAACCATTCAGCAACTGACAAATAGCCCCTAAAAGAATAAAACAAACAAGAATGTTTAAGACCAGAAGTTTTTGCAACAAACATAAACAAAGCCCACATAAGTCACAGAAATACACGACCTAAACAAAAATAAAACCCGAAACAGACAAACAAGCAGGTGCCAAACGGGCCGTCCTTGCAACCTGACTCAAGGTGCAGATAAGCTATTTTATTTGTTTTAACTTGTTCAAAGATCAATTAACTTGAGTAATTTTCCAACATGTTACTTTAAGTTATTTTATGTTGTCATGCATCTTATTGCCTAATTTTTATTATATGTAACTAGTTTAGCAGATAACAAGTAACTTATTAACCAACAACTAGTTTTTCAGTCACATCTAAGGGGTTGTTTGACAGTTGCTGACTGGTTTTGGTGCAGAATAATTAAGTGGTCAGAATGATTAAGAGACTCTCATGATCTAGTGTAAAATGAAATATAATTGTTTGGTAATTGTTTACAATGAAACTAGGGCACTGAATGGTTAGGGAAGACCTATAATATAAAATCATTCAGATGGTTTTAGGACCATTAAAAAACAGATTTTTTTTACCAAACAATATTCACCTCTTAACGATTTAAATACTGCCTCTTAATGAAACTATTAAGAGGTAAACAAACAATCTCTAACTTATTAGCTAGTTTGCCAAACATAATCTAAGTGTTTATAGTTTGAAATATCAATTTCGTGAAAGTAATTTTAAAAATACACCATATTTTTTCTATGCCACCCTATTATTTTGAAATATCTTGCAGCAACAAGATTCATAATGACTAAGGGGCTGTTTGGCAGTTACTGAACGGTTCGGTGCAGAATGATTAAGTGGTCAGAATGATTAAGAGACTCTCATGATATAGTACAACATGAAATATAATTGTTTGGTAATTGTTTACAATGAAATCAGTGCGCTTAATGGTTAAGTGAGAGCCAAGATACAAAATCATTCAGAGGGTTTTAGAACCATTAAGAGACAATTTTTTTTATCAAACAAGATTTACCTCTTAACGATTCAGAATACGTCTCTTAATGGAACTATAAAGAGGTAAACAAACAACCCATTAAGAGACTGTTTATTTAACATCTACAAGGTATACGTTTACCGATATCACTTAGATTATTGATAGAGCATGACAATGACTACGAATCTTATCTGGTAAGAGGCAGAACAAGAACCGAGAGTTCTACTTGACAAGTAAGGGGATAAACTCTTACCCAGTAAGTATTTATCGAGCTTTAGACACTTACCAATAATATATTTTAATAGCAGAAAATGTTATACAACAAGATAAGTAGTGGATCCTAAAGTATGCTTTAAGACCTAGTTGAGAGCAGTCCAAAGTATGCTTTAAGACCGTGACCAGTTCTTGATACTTGGAATCGGTCTCGGAATCGCTTGGAACCGGTTACGTTATCAAGTACCTGGTGCCTAAATTGTTTATAAAATTTTCTCATTTCATATTATAAAAAACAATTATTAGTCTATTACAAAGTAACAACGTAAAGAAATAAATACTGACAACAGTGAAAATTAATCCGATAAAAACAAAAAAACTAATAATTAAATAGATAATTTGATAGAATGAAACCCTTGAGTAAAATTACAAGTGGTTTTGGGATTTGGGTTGTGAAACATGAGAAAACTCTTAGGTAGAGAGAACTAAATCAACTTTCAAGGAAGCGGTGGTAAATGTAACCCTAAAAGGTAAATTAATAATTTCAAAAAAGCGGGTGTCCATTTGTCTTCGGTCAGGGTACCTTACTTGGTCCCAGCGGATACCCAACATTTAGCGATTCCAAAAAAAATTGAGAACTGGAATCAAAACCAGTCCTGATCGGTTTCGGTTTTGGTTTTTTATGAAATAGAGCCGGAACCAGTCATATCAGTTCCGGTTACAAAGGCAGGTACTGGTTTTGATATCTACAAGGGTGTGAAAAATGTTTTTTTTTTGTCTTTTAACTCATTCGCAAGTTATGTATATGCCATCTGTTGAGGTAGTAATATTTTTAAAAAATTCTAAATTTTTTTGGCTAAAAGATAAATTTGATCCCTGAAATAAACATCTCTATTAATTTTCTAATTGTAATTACTAGGGGGTGCTCATTGGTTGGGTTTGATCGGGTTGAAGACATTTGAACATCCAACCCAATGCTTCCGGTTTGAAAAATCTTAACCTAACTCAACCCAAACCAAAGTGCAACCCAACCCAACCCAAACCGTACGGGTTGGTCGGGTTGATATTTTGGTACATTAAAATATTCCCCTAACCTTAAATATGTTATTTATCTATTCATAGTTTCTTTTTCATCATCAACCATTTGATACAACTTATCCATACTTCTTATGTATATCACATTCAGTTAATTTTCTCAATTTACATATATATGTTCACAGTTACTGAACATATATATGAATGAGTTATATAGAGATGTGAATGGATTGAGAACATATGTATATGAAGAACATACATAATAGTGTAACGTTCTAATATATATATATATATATATATATATATATATATAAATAGAAATTCAACAATCATATTAAATCTAAGAAATAAAATAATATCGAGTTCATCGAGTTACATTGAGTTCAAGTAATAGTAACCCAATATCAACCAAATACCTACAATTTAAAAAATTTAAAACTCGATTATACATTGAGTTGCTTCAAGTTAAATTATTTCACATTGAGTTGAGTTAGATTGATCGGGTTTTTAAACACCCCTAGTAATTATTAAAGAATTTAAAATTGAAAAAAAAAGGAAACCGACTTCAGAGATGTTTTTCGCCACTCTGATTAACCGCCAGTCAGTCATCGTCTTCCCCTAATCCCCTATATAAACCCTGATACCCCTTTCTTCTTCATCACACCATCACACACTCTCTCTCTCTCATCTTTCTCTCTCTAAAAATGTCTTCCTTTCCTGCTCTTTGCATTCCCCACACCTCTTCTGTTCTCACCTTCCCCGTTTTCTTCGCCGTCATCGTTTTCGTCTCCGTTTTCGCTTTCCTACTTGCTCCCGGCGGCCTAGCATGGGCTCTGTCGTCAAAATCTCGAACGAGAACGGCCATTCCTGGCCCTTTTGGTGTACCCATTTTAGGCCTCGTCTTTGCTTTCACATCCTCTTTGACTCATAGAACCCTTGGGAAGCTTGCTATTACCTTCAATGCTACGTCTCTAATGGCGTTTTCCGTTGGGTTGACTCGTTTTGTCATCTCGAGTCATCCGGAAACTGCTAAGGAAATACTCAACAGCTCTGCTTTTGCTGACCGGCCGGTGAAGGAATCGGCGTATGAGCTTCTGTTTCATCGTGCCATGGGGTTTGCTCCTTATGGTGATTATTGGCGCAACCTTAGAAGGATCTCGGCGACTCATTTGTTTAGCCCTAAAATGATATCGAGTTTTGGGGGTTTTCGGGAGAAAATCGGGTTGAAAATGGTGGATCAGGTTTCCGATTCCATGGATCGTAACGGCGTTGTAGAGGTTAAGAGGTTGCTTCACTTTGCTTCGTTAAACAATGTAATGATGTCTGTATTTGGCAAATCGTATGATGATTTCGCTGACGATGGCGGCCATGGGTTTGAGCTTGAGGAGTTGGTTAGTGAAGGATACGAACTTCTCGGAATCTTCAACTGGAGTGACCATTTTCCGATCGTTAGGTGGTTTGATTTTCAGGGGGTGAGGAAGAGATGCAGAAAGCTGGTTTCTAGAGTTAATGTTTTCGTAGAAGCAATCATAAACGAACACCGCGAACGGAGGTCTGGAAACGGCGGAGCTGCCACCGTTCACGGCGGCGATTTCGTTGATGTTCTGCTTGATTTGGAATCCGAAAACAAGTTCAGTGATGCTGATATGATCGCTGTTCTTTGGGTACGTTTAATTTCGAATAATCTTCATCTCTTTTCTGTTCTGGGTATTTTCGATCTGACGAACTCGAAGCAGATCAAACCCACAAATTTTCTGAAACTGTTTTGTTAATTTCGTGATATTATTTGCAGGAAATGATCTTCAGAGGAACCGATACGGTTGCAATCCTTCTGGAATGGATTCTCGCGAGGATGGTATTGCATCCAGACATTCAAGCCAAAGCACAAGCTGAAATCGAGAGTGTCGTTGGATCGGGTCGACCCGTGCTGGACACGGATCTTCCAAGCCTGCCATACCTCCATGCAATTGTGAAAGAAACCCTACGTGTACACCCACCGGGCCCACTTCTATCATGGGCTCGACTCGCCATCCACGACACCCAAGTGGGTCCACACCTGGTTCCAGCCGGGACTACAGCCATGGTCAACATGTGGTCCATAACCCACAATGCTCAAATCTGGGTCGAACCCGAGTTGTTTAACCCGGAAAGGTTTATCGATCAAGAGGTCTCGATAATGGGTTCGGACCTCCGTTTGGCTCCGTTCGGTGCGGGTCGGAGGGTTTGCCCCGGAAAAGCGATGGGTTTGGTTACGGTTCAGCTTTGGTTAGCTCAGTTGTTGCAGAATTTCAAGTGGGTCGCATCCGGGTCGCATCCGGGTCTGGTTGATTTGTCAGAGTGTTTGAAGATGTCATTGGAAATGAAGAACCCATTGGTGTGCAAGGCTGTGGCTAGGGTTTGATGACGTGGCAGGATAATTAATTAGCCTTAATTAAGTTTAATTAATGACTATCCATTTTCTTAGGTAGTAAGGGGTAATTTTGGAATTTGAAAAAGTTTGGGAGGTAGTGTGAAAGTATGCACTGTGTACACACCCTTTTGGTTATATATATGTGTGCCCTTATATATATATATATGTCATTTCTTGCCCCTTTTAAGTTAAATGGTATGTTGTGGGAGCTCTCTATTTAAGTTCAATTGTATCATTTCGGGTTTTTATCGTCGTTTTTTTACCATAAATAGTATTTATGCACGGTTTTGTCGAAGATCCTGTAACTTGTTATAAACGGGCATTTGTCCAAATATGATGGTAAAGAACGATACGGATTAGTGGTGGAGAATTTGGTCATACCGAATGTGGGTTGTGACGAATTTGGTGCCACTTTTCGGCCTTCCGTTTTTGTGATATGGTTCGTTTACGGGTTTTTGAACGTGTACGTGGTTTTAAACATGGTTATATGTAAATTTTGGAAAGATGTGGTTTCGGGAAATTGAAATGAAAACCCGAAGTGGAATATAGGGTATCAGTAGCCATTTTGTTTGTTTATTAACTCCGATACCCAACACATCCCCATACATCTTTATTCCTTATGCTTTATGCCATTTGCATTATGAAAGGCGATGCCCTTTTATAGTGTCGTTTTCCAGAATTATGGTCATAACTTGTACATCATATGAAATACCGTTTTGTGTTTATTGAAAACCCGTTCTAAAAATATAACGGGTTTTGTATATTATATATATATATATATATATGTATGTATGTATCTTGGGATCTTGATCACACACATGCTTTTCTTGGTTCATTTGGGAGTTCCTTTGCTTTCACAAAAGATGCATTTAGGATTTGAATATCCCAAGATTCTCTCCACCCCCCACCCATCTCTAACATTTATTCCGATTACAACGTTTTGTCATTTTCGTATGTTGAATTTTTCGATACCTTTATAAAGTTATACAACACATATAACGATCCGTACCAGTACCACTGATGCATTGTGATTCTTGTCGTTTATGGTCTTTATCTCTTCCGTAATTATGACCCCTAATTTCTTCCAGGGGCATCTTATGTCATCATCATATGACTGACCACTTTAGTTCATGTTACAAGAATGTGTAAAGGGTCGTTATCTTTTTTTCTCACATGAGATACCCATCCAATCTTTTGAATGCATTACAATTAAGGGAATTGTCGTTGTGTTGCATCAAAATGTGATGGTTACCGGGACATATTCTTTTGACTAAGTCTTCTAATGATCGAAACACCGTCTTTTTCAAGATTTTGGATTCAAAACTGCTGTTGAGAACAACTATTCGTTAAAGATGTTTTTTGTACTTTTATCTTATCAAGCATCGTATGCGCTACCAGAAATGTTTGTTCTAAATCGAAAAAGAATGGCCCCGGAATCTTAACTCGTAAATCTCATCTGCACGAGTGTTCGTAGACCTTTTCTTTCGTCCTGTAATACTAATGTGCGTGGGTGTAAAGCGAAAACATCGAATGAGATTACAAAGGAGAAAGATTTGAGATGATAATAAAGAGAAGGGGCATGATATTTATTCCTTATTTAAAATTATTAATCGTCTGATATTCGTTGTAATTGGATGGATTAAGATCCTTAATATCACAAATAATAAAAAAAAATCAATTCTTAAAAATCTTAAAAATTCACATTTAACACGCAAATAATTATGATTTGTAACAACATTACTTATATTCTAACATGAATCAAAAGTGATCTTCCTTTTATTAAAATAATAAATAAAAAAAATGGATAACTAAAGTTTAATGAGATGTGATCCTCGGCAAAGGTTTAACTTTGACTATCATTTATAAAAATCTCCTTCCGGTTATGGAGGATTAAATGCGGTAACTTCATATTATTTGTAAAACAGGTGGTTATTCTGTGATTAGTCAGCTCGCATAGCGGATTGGATATCCAAGTTAATAAAAAAAAATTATGGATAAATATAATATAAAATAAATATACTTTTTTATATATTTACAAGTCTATAACTTGAATTTTTATTTATTTTAATACTCAATAATGATGTAGAATTGGTGGGTTTTACATACATGAAATTTAGCATGTTTTTCTATAATTCATTTTACAAAATAGATATTATTTTTCAAACTATAAGGGAGTATTTGATTCATATAATGGAATTTGATGGAATTAAAATCCATCAAAGGAATTTGACTTTGAAGGAATTGAAATGAAATTTGATGAAATTTGGTTGGTAGGAATTGAAATGAAATTTCTCGAAAGAATTGGAACAATCGTCTTTGTTTGGACTATCACATCCATCGGCCTGCCTACGTCCTACCAACCACCATGTCACTATTGTCGTCTTCACAAGTATCACCTCGTGCCATCCCTACCCAAACCCCGCCCCCATGCTCCATAGGTAGGGGTTGTTGGAGGAGAGGTAGGTGGGGCTAGAGTGGGATAGTGGGTGGTAGCTGTGATGACTATAGTGGTAGGATGGTGATTACTGGTGGTTTGGAGTAAGTAGGGTGGGGCCGCCCCAAATTTTTTTATTTTTTTTTATTTCTTTCGAGTGCCGTGACGTCATTCTTAATAACTTATGTCTTAAACAAAAGTACGAACTTAAAATTTCAAACACACATAATATGTTTAAAATAATTCGTTACATAATTGCGGAAGCGTAAAATACTTTAACATAATCAATGCTAATTAAAATATCTAATCAAGCATGATTCAAAAACATAGTCCCGTCTTTCTTCATTCATTCTTCTACTGACAAATGACACCTGAGATATATAGATGTATAGTATAAGCAAAATGCTTAGTGAATATAATATGGTTTCATGATCACATGCACACACAAAACAGTGTTTTAGTGTATTTTAATTATTATCTTGCAAGTSAGGYCTCGGCTCGTCACTTTTCTTTGCGTATGTGGCGTATTCTATGGACGAGGACTCCAAGACCTCGGAATTGCAAGCCCTCCTTTCATGTCCAACCCACCCCGTACGGTGGACGAATCTTGCCGAATCATACTAGTTACATATCATTTATTTGCAATACTCACTCATTAATGCAAATCTCATCGTGACATGCAACATACATTTCATGCAAGTGACAACATAAATCACATATGCATCATCGTCATTTTTCACATTATACACATACTTGAATATCATATTGATAATAACAAGTCATCATAATTTTTCTCATCAACATCACCTTTCATATCATGCATATATTTAAATATCATGCACATCAATATAATCAAGTTATCATCATATGCATATAAACATATCATGCATATATCATGGATAAAATACTTTTGTAATAATCATGTATATATCYCATAAAAATCGCATAATGTACTCACCTGATAACGAAGATTATTCAACCAACGATGCTGACTGGTAACCTACAATTTATAATAGTAAATAGCATATAAATGATTAATTTCTCCCAAAGGCTAACATAAAAGTCAACTTATGGTCAACTACGTCGGCTAGGGTCAACCTTGGTCAACTATGCTTAAGAACGTTCCTCACATCAACAAAAATTATAGGAACGTGAGTTCCGACATAAAGTGTATCGTCTAGCTATATATCTTAAAACGACCAAGTCTGGAAGATGACCAGAGCCTCTGTGGACGACCAGAGCCTCTGTGGACGACCAGAGCCTCTGTTGTAATGACCAGAGCCTCTGGACTCGTTAAGTCCTTTGGGACTAGAGCCCCTCTGGTTACCTTGACCAGAGCCCTTCTGGTTGTAAACCATAAGAAAATAATTCAACATCAAGGGCCAGAGCCCCTCTGGTCTCTCTTCCAGGGCTTCTGGTCTTCGCGACCAGAGCCTCTGGTTCTAAACCTCATTTAGAAAATATTTCAACATCTAATACCAGAGCCCCTCTGGTTTCTCTTCCAGAGCTTCTGGTCTTYRCGACCAGAGCCTCTGGTTTCACTAACCAGACTTAGAATATATTTTAACACAGGACCAGAGCCCCTCTGGTCTCTCTTCCAGAGCTTCTGGTCTTCATGACCAGAGCCTCTGGTTGAACTAACCCATACTTAGAAAATAATTCAACATCCAGGACCAGAGCCCCTCTGGTCTATCTTCCAGAGCTTCTGGCTTCGCGACCAGAGCCTCTGGTCCTACACGGACAACAAAATTAAGAGATTTACTTTTCATCGCCTCTGGTCCAATTGACCAGAGCCTCTGGTCCTACACTTAACGAGATTAAGTGTTTTACAGAGGACCTAAAACGAAGCTAACCATAAAAGAATATGAACGTTAGTTGAGTATTTTACCTCTAATCGATAGGCTCCGATTTCTCTCCTGATTTAAAATTTTGGGTTTTACAGGACTGGGGGTAGGTGGCGGGGTGGTAGCTATGACGATGATAGTGGTGGGATGGTGGTCGGATGGTTGGGGCCTAGGAGTGGGTGGGTATGACGACAACAATAGTAGCATGGTGTTTATTGGTGGGTTAGGGTAGGGTGCGGGTGAGTGGCAGTTGTGAAGGCGACAATAGTGGTGTGGTGGTGATGGTTGGTTTATGGGTGGGTCATGACGAACAATAGTAGCATGGTCTTGGTGTGTGATGATGGAATTCAATTCCTTTCCTTATGCCAAGGAATGATGAATTCATTAATTTTTGGAATTCAATGATTTGAAGGATTCCATCTATTTCAAGAAATGAACCAAACAAAAGAATTGAAATTTGATCAAAAGAATTTGTCATTCTAATTCCATCACATTTCTTCAAATTCCACGAATCAAACGACCCCTAAATATTTAAATAAATATCTTTTAAATCACAAGCCCTTAGAATTGTCCAGGGCTCATTTGTTCAAATACAACGCTTTTGAACCAAACCTCTCCAATCCAATTATCCATTGGATGTTGGATTTTCAAAGTCGATCTAGTCCGACCCCGATCCAATTGGATCGGAATACTTTTATCAAATTGATATTGTTATTAGTTATTTATTGGATCAGATCAATCAAATATTTTGAACCAGTTATCCATATGTTAAACTTAAACATGATTTACAGTTGCATGGAAATTGGATTGTATTGGATTTGGTTATCGTCCAGCAACCGAACAATCCAGTTTGGATTATTGAAAGTCTGGATTCGATCTAATCCAACCCAA